TCTGGGCGGGCTCCCAACTTCAACGCTCGAAATATAAAGACTGAAATGTATGCCTCTATTATCTGGGCGGGCTCCCAACTTCAACGCTTGAAATGAAAAGGCTGAAATGTATGCCCACATCCCAAACCCTTAGACCAATCTCCCCTAGCCCTAACCAAACGGACCCTTTAATTTTAACCTTGTTTATCTCAAATGATCAACGACCCACATCTATTCCCCCACTTTTAATTATCCAACCCCTTAAACCCTAATCCATTTTTACTCAACCAGCTGCTTCTGCATTCTCTCGACCTCCCTCTTTGCTTCATTGAACCCTAGCTTCCTTATCCCTAAAACTTCTCCGAATCCAACCATGCCATGAATTTACTCCATGATTCACTTACCTTATTCGTGATGCTTCGCTATTATGTGCACGCATGTGGTGTTACTTAGTACTTACCCGATTTTGGCAAGGACCACTTCTCTGAATCAAGTGCAATCAACCTCAATATTCAAGATTCAGACGGTAATCTGTTTCTATATGCTCACAACAAGGTCGTATGGGTCTGATTTACCGAGATCTTTGGCTAATTTTTGATTTCCAATCAAATTAGGGTTTGTCCGAATTTTTTACCTATTCCAATTTGGAATGGGTTTTGCATGTGATTCTTTCCTTATTTTGTGTTGTAATTGATTTTTTTTCATGTACAAGACAAATCGAACACTATATAAACCCCTCTCCCAATTCCCCTAAAACGGTCTTTTTATCACTTGGATTCCCTCAAACTCACTCTATTATTCTGAAACTACTGATTATTTGCCGGCTGAAAGCCAAGGCCACCTATATTTTCTTTATCAACCTTCCTGAGATGACCACTTCTTGGGACTCGTCTGAAGCTCTTATGAACTTTGATGCACTGGGTTTGGGGTCCTGTTGTTCTCTCTTTGCTACTGATAATGAAGTTGTTGCTGGTACTTAGTTGTCTCTTTTATTTGCTTGTTAATTCTACGAACTGGTAAGTACTTAGATTTTCGTAATTATATTCTCTCCCATCTTGTGTTCATGCTTCTGTACATATGTGTTACTTGAACTTTTGTGAAAAAATATGACACTGGGCCTTGAATTTGTTCAGTAACCCTGTATTTTTATCAGAATCTGCGTAATTCTATATATGTTCATCTTGTGTATTCAATTTGGAAAACTTATTACTTGAAGGCTCGATTATACTATCATATTTATCTATGCCCGAATTCGTATATTGGGTGATTGTTATGACTCATTTCTCATGCTTAGCTTTGGATACTTGTATTGAAACTCCCATAGATTTAATGCATGCCCAGAATCTGCTTGTACGCACTTCTTTCTGCTGAATCCGTTATGTGTAATATATTATTTCCCTGCAAATTGATCCATGACCATGTGAACCCCATGTAACCATACTGTCTTAATGTTTAGCCAAACATGTTTCTCTGCTATCGGTAAACTCTAATGTTGTGCTCCCTGACTTGTTAATCCTATATTCTTTAGTATTGCCTAAGAGTTCTAGAGAAATTTTCAATGTTTATCCTTTTCCTATATGAAATCAACTAGTATTAGTCTTGATGCTTGCTTGTCCTATTTATCTAAAATTTACATGCTTTTGGAATTCTTCTGGTGTTATGATTGGTACTCAGCATGCTAAAGTTCTCTCATGCTCAACTAAGTAATTGCTTTTTTAGACCATGTCTACCAACATGTTTGGTTATGCTACTTTCACTAGGTTTTTATGTTAGACATTTTCATGTGAAGATAATATTCTATTTGTTCTTGTCTAGGACTCTACTAGATTTTCATGTTTTAAAATCTTATGTGTAATACTCCGGAAATTCGACTTAGGTATGAATGCGTTAAAGGGGTAGTAAGGATATATTTTGAACATGTGAAGTCCCATCGGGATGATTATGGGTAAAATAGTTGTTTCAAAATCAAGATGGAAAGTGAGGTGCATAAGATTTGACAAAATCGACTAAGTTTGCAGAAGGTCTGTCTTCTAGTACGTTTTAGTGACAATGTGTAAGGAATTGGGGAAAATACAAAGCATGAAAGTTGTAGGCCTTTGAAATAGCTTTCCAACAATATATTATAAAGCCCGAACGGATCTCTATACAAAGGTTATGCGTGTTTTACAGAATAGTATGCGATATGCGCGCCGGTAGCGCGCCCTAAGCGCGACCGCGCTAATTTTGAGGCAGTGTTACTGCCGTTTCGCATGGTCAGTAGCGCGGGCAGGCCTCCAGATGCACGAGCGTGCTAGTGGAGGGTCATTTTAAGGCTATATTTCGGTCCCTACAGCCCCAAAACATAAAAACTTGCTCTAGAAAGGGGAACTCTCAAAAACCTAACTCCTTAAGGGTACTTCCACCACCCAAGGTAAGTTCTAATGGTGATTCTAAGTTAATTTCAATTTCCCAACATCTTATTAACATGGGTAAACCTCCATATCATTAGATATTCGATTGGGACATCATTGTTGAGAGAAGAAAGCCTAGAACTCGAATTCAAAGTGGTTTGAACTTCAAAAAGGTAATATCTTCACCCTCTAATTGATTCTAGCATTTGTTTATTGATTATAAACCCTAGTTCATGAGATATGAGTTGATGGGTTTGATAGAAAAGCATGAACGATTATAGGGTTGGGGTGTTGAGTGTTGATTATTGGTTAAGGGTGTTGTTTACATTATGGGTGATGAAGAATAATGTTGATATAATCATTTGAGACTTTAAAATTTATCTAGGAACAAGAGAATGGGTTGTTGGGTGTAGAGACACCATTAATAAAGCCTAGGAAGCTTTATTTTTACCAAGTGTTTGATAAAATGCTTAAGTGACCAAAACATGAGCATCATAGGTAATATGGTATCCCTTTGACTTGTATTGCTATAGATTAAAGTTGAAAGGGTTGATAAACATTGTATTACGCTCAAGGGCAGGAAGTTAAGGTATGTATGGCTAACTCTTTACGTTTGGGAATGTCTATGATTCTCCCTATGTCCCATTCATTATGACCATTACTAGTTTCCTCAGAAAGTAACTATGCCTCGGTTCTCTGAATAGTAGTAGAACTTCTATTCTCTAGATAGCATAGTCTCATAATCATTCAATATTCCATGAGTTTTAGCTATGATAAATCAACTTATTATGAATACTCATCTCAGTCTAATCCTATTCACTAATCCAATATCATGTAACTTGGTATGACTCATTATTTCAGTACCATGTATTGTAATATGATTCTCAGTTCCTGATTTTATATTCTTGAATGTTGAACACCTGTATTCTTTTTGGGCCTGAGGCCGCAGTTCATGCTTTATACATCTTTGGGCCTGAGTCCGCAGTTATGTATACGTATACTTGGGCCCGAGACCGCAGTTGTGCACATATATATATATATACATATTGGGCCTGAGGCCGCAGTTTAATATTCAGTTAAACATGTTGTTCATCATTCAGAAGAGGGAGTATTCACATCTATACTTCCTTGTTCAGTTACCAGTTTATTAACCAGCAGTTCAGTTTCAGTTTCAGTATTTACAGTTCTTTTGTTCAGCTATTTTACATATCAGTACAATTCAAATGTACTGACGTCCCTTTTACCCGGGTCCTATATCTTGCGATGCAGGTAACGATTTTCAGGTTGACGATTCTGCTTGCTAGGACATCTCGTATCAGCTATTGGTGAGCCCCAGTCTTCCGAGGCTTTATCTCTATTTTGTTTTAGTCATTATAGTATTTCAGTTAATAAGGTATACTGGGGACCTTGTTCCGGTAAACAGTTAGCATTTTCAGTATTCTTTAGAAGCTTCGTAGACTATAACCCAGTCAGTCAGATATTAGCAGGCTTTCATGTGTTAGCCTTGTCGGCTACTTGTTTATACTTGCATACCGTTCAGTATTTTCCGCATCTATGATATTTCAGTCAGACTCTTTAGTAGATTATCATGTTTTATATTTACCTCTAGCTCATAGTTATACCACATGTTGATCTAGCCATGCATTTGGTTCGCTCGGTCACATGCAGTCAGGCAGCGAGTGTCGTGTTACGCCCAGACCATAGTTTGGGGCGTGACAAAGCTTGGTATCAGAGCCTAGGTTCAAGAGTCCTAGGGAGTCTATGAAACCGTGTCTAGTGGGGTCTCTTTTATGTGTGTGTGCGCGCCACACATGTAAACAGTTGACCACCAAGACATCTAGGATTGTTCCCTTTCTTTCATACTCTAGATCGTGCAGTTAGAGGTTTGCTTTCAGGAATCTTTCTAACCCGTGCAAATTGTGTATTTCAGAAAAATGCCTGCAAAAAGAAAGTACACCAGGAGGGTCTCAGCTACTAGCCAGGGGGCCACAACTAATGCGGCTCAGGAGGAGGACACTCCAGCCAAGGGGGTTGCATCAGGCTCAATGCCTAGTGCTTCAGACATGGATGTCAGGGGAGCTATCTAGTTGCTCACCCAAATTGTTGCTAATCAGGCTCAAAGGCAAGGAACAAGTGATGTTCATGAGATGGGTAGTTCCAAGTCTAGGGAATTCCTCAACATGAAACCTCCCATCTTTACAGGGTCCAAAAAGGATGAGGATCCGCAAAACTTCATTGATGAGGTTCAGAAGATATTTCGAGTGATGCATGCTACAGACACTGAAACAGCAGAACTTGCTGCGTACTAGCTGAAGGATGTTGCCAACATGTGGTATGAAACATGGGAAGAGTCTCGAGGGGAGGATACAGATCCTGCGACTTGGAAGGATTTTGCAGATGCGTTCCTTGAGCACTTTCTACCTATTGAGGTCTTGGAAGCTAAGGCTTTGGAGTTTGAGAGACTCGGACAGAATGATATGAGTGTGAATGAGTACTACCTCAAGTTTGTCTCTCTGGCCAAGTATGCTCCGAAAATGATACGGTATATGAGGGTCAGAGTTAGGCGGTTTGTGTTGGGGCTTTCAGATGATTTGTTTGCTGATGCTAATATTAGCTACTCAGATTAATGACATGACCATCACTAAGATGATTTCCTTTGTTCAAGGGAACGAAGACAGGTTGAAGGAAGAAGAGCGGCTACGGAGAGAGAAGGAGAGGGAATTTAGCAAGAGAGCTAAGTCTGCAGGAAATTTCAACCATGGGGGATCTCAAGCAGGAGGCAATCGCCAGTTTTTCAAGAAATCAAAATCAAGACCTGCTCCATCTTCAGCTAGTGCACCGGTTCAGAGGTCGAAGTTTAACAAGAAAAACCAGAATTTCAGAACAGCAGACTCGCAGCCCAGGCTAGTGTGGGCTACAGAGTCCCTGGTTACCCTATTTGCAACATGTGTGGTAAGAGGCACCCAGGGTTGTGTCATTTGGGCACAAATGGTTGCTTTGGGTGTGTTCAGTAGGGCTACTTCTTGAGGGATTGTCCATCGGCAAAACAGAACAATGGAGGCAATGCAGCTCAGTCCACTAATTCCGCTGCCCATCATAACTCTCAGGCCCAATAAGGGCGCGGTGCAGCAAAGTCTAATACTGTAGGCGGTGGTCGAAACTGCTTGTATGCACTGGCAGACCGTCATGATACAGAGGCTCGTGGAGATGTTGTCACAGGTATGCTAACAATATTCACTTTTGATGTCTATGCTCTTATAGATCCGGGATCCACCCTATATTATGTAACCCCATATATTGCAAAGAAATTTGGGATAAAACCAGAAAAGTTGTGTGAACCCTTTGAAGTGTCCACTCCAGTTGGAGAATCAGTTATAGCAAGGTATATCTATAGGGGATGTCCAGTCAAAGTGCATCGTCGTCTCGCTGTAACAAATTTAGTAGAATTGGAGATGTTAGACTTCGATGTGATCATGGGCATGGATTGGTTAGAGTCATGTTATGCCAAAGTGGGTTGTAGAATCAAAATAGTAAGTTTTGAATTTCCCGGTGAACCAATCTTAGAATGGAAGGGTGATGCAGTAACACCTAGGGGTAGGTTTATTTCCTATCGTAAAGCTAGAAAGATGATCTCCAAGGGATATATCTATCACCTGGTTCGAGTTAAGGATGCAGATGCTCAGATCCCCACTCTCCAGTCGATACCAATTGTAAATGAGTTTCTAGAAGTGTTTCCTGAAGATCTCCCTGGAGTCCCTCCCAATAGGGAGATTGACTTGGGAATTGATCTACTTCCAGGCACTAAGCTGATATCTATTCCGCCTTATAGAATGGCTCCAGCAGAGTTAAAAGAGTTAAAAGTCCAGTTGAAAGATCTTCTAGATAAGGGATTTATAAGGCCAAGTGTCTCACCTTGGGGCGCACCGGTCTTGTCTGTCCAAAAGAAGGATGGGTCTTTGCGCATGTGCATTGACTATCGTCAGTTGAATAAAGCCACCATCAAGAACAAGTACCCTCTTCCCAGAATAGATGATTTATTTGATCAACTTCAGGGTGCCCAGTGTTATTCCAAGATTGACCTTAGATCGGGATACCATCAGTTGAAGGTTAAGGAAGTTGATATTCCAAAAACAACTTTTAGGACTCGATATGGGCATTTCGAATTTTTGGTAATGTCATTTTGTTTAACGAATGCATTAGCAGCTTTCATGGACATTATGAAAAGGGTCTTCAAGCCTTATCTTGATTTGTTTGTTATCGTGTTTATTGATGACATCTTGATTTATTCCCGTAGCGAGACTGACCATGTCGAACATCTCAGAATTGTGTTGCAGACACTACAGGATCACAAGCTATATGCAAAAATTTCTAAGTGTGAATTCTGGTTGAAATCAGTAGCGTTTTTGGGCCATGTCATCTCAGGGGAAGGCGTGAAGGTGGACTCTCAGAAAATAGAGGCAGTGAAGAATTGGCCTAGACCTACCGATATAAGAAGTTTCTTGGGTCTAGCAGGATATTATAGTCATTTCATAGAGGGATTTTCTTCTATCTCGTCCCCTTTGACTAGATTAACTCAGAAGAAAGTTAAGTTTCAATGGTTGGACGCGTGCGAGAAAAGTTTTGAGGAGTTAAAGAAGAGATTGACTTCAGCTCCAGTCCTGACACTACCAGAAGGAACCGAAGGGCTCGTTGTTTATTGTGATGCTTCAGGGGTTGGTCTTGGGTGTGTATTAATGCAGCACGGTAAATTCATAGCCTACGCGTCGAGACAGATCAAGGCTCACGAGAAGAATTATCTGACTCATATCCTTGAATTAGCAGCTGTGGTGTTCGCGCTTAAGATATGGCGCCATTATCTGTATGGGGTACATGTTGACATTTTTACAGATCACAAGAGTCTCCAATACATCTTCAAGAAAAGAGAATTAAATCTACGTCAGAGAAGGTGGCTTGAGTTACTTAAAGATTATGATGTTGATATCCTCTATTATCCAGGGAAAGCAAATGTTGTAGACGATGCTCTCAGTCGGCATTCTATGGGCAGCTTAGCTCACGTTGAGGCAGACAAGCGAACTATGATGAAGGAAGTCCACCGCTTAGAAAATCTAGGAGTTTGACTTTTGGACTCCGAAGATGGTGGCGTTGTTCTCCAGAACAGAGCTGAATCCTCCTTAGTAGCCGAATTAAAAAAAAACAGTGCAGTGATCCCTACTTATTGCAGCTGAAGGAAGGAATTCACAAACACAAGACTATGGCTTTTAAACAAGGGGGAGATGATGGTACTTTAATACAGAGGCAGTCTATGCGTTCCAGACGTAGATGGGCTCAGGGAGCGGATTATGTCAGAAGCCCACAATTCCAGGTATTCTATTCACCCAGGTTCTACAAAGATGTATCATGATCTTAAGGAGGTTTATTGGTGGAACGATATGAAAAAGAATATAGCATATTGCGTGGCTAAGTGTCCAAATTGTTAGCAGGTGAAAGTCGAACACCAGAGACCAAGCGGTTTAACTCAGAATATAGAAATTCCCATTTGGAAATGGGAGATGATAAACATGGACTTCATAATGGGTCTACCTCGCTCGTTACGGAAGCACGATTCGATTTGGGGTGATTGTAGACCGACTTACCAAGTCAGCTCACTTCTTGCCAATGAAGACTACAGATTCGGCCGAGGATTATGCCAAGTTGTATATCAAAGAAATTTTCCGATTGCATGGGACTCCTTTGTCCATTATCTCAGATCGTGGTGCTCAGTTCACAGCAAACTTTTGGAAATCCTTTCAGAAGGGATTGGGCACAAGGGTGAACCTCAACACCTCTTTTCATCCTCAAATAGATGGACAGGCAGAACGTACCATTCAGACTCTGGAGGATATGTTGAGGGAGTGTGTTATTGATTTTAAAGGTAATTGGGATGATCATCTACCTCTCATTAAGTTTGCTTACAATAACAGCTATCATTCTAGTATCAAGATGGCATCGTACAAAGCTCTGTATGGGCGAAGGTGTAGATCACCAATTGGTTGGTTCGAAGTCGGAGAAGCAGAGTTGTTAGGACCCGATTTGGTCTATCAGGCTATGGAGAAAGTCAACTTGATACAAAGGCATTTGAAGACGGCTCAAAATCGCCAAAAGTCCTATTCGGACGTGCAGTGTAGAGACTTAGAGTTCCAAGTTGATGATTGGTTGTTTCTAAAAGTATCGCCCATGAAAGGCGTTATAAGATTTGGGAAGAAGGGGAAGATTAGTCCCCGCTATATTGGTCCATATAGAATCCTGCGAAGGATCGGACATGTGGCTTATGAGTTAGAATTGCCACAAGAACTAGCTGCTGTACACCCAGTGTTTCATGTGTCTATGTTGAATAAATTCATGGGAGACCCGTCACTTATGGTTCCTACAGAGGTTATAGGGGTTAAAGACAGCCTGTCTTACGAAGAAATTCTAGTGGCTATTCTTGATCGTCAAATTCGCAAGCTCAGAACTAAGGAAATTTCTTCAGTAAAAGTGCTTTGGAAGAATCAAAAGGTTGAAGAGGCTACATGGGAAGCCGAAGAGGACATGAAGTCTAGATATCCCCATCTCTTTGAAGAGCAAACGGAAAATGTGGAAGGTAATTAACCTTTCCATTCAGGCCTTATATTATAATCTCCATGTCCTTCAGTATTTACTTAGCTTATAACTCAATTATTACGTACTCGTTCAGTTTGATATACATGTATTCATGATATTTTAGTATTCTCATATCTCCATAACACCCGTTTAATGTCCATAGATAGCCGTAGTTGCAGCCAGGACCATCATTCGAGGACGAATGATTCCAAGGGGGAGATAATGTAACACCCCGTAAATTCGGCTTAGGTATGAATGAGTTAAAGGAGTAGTAAGGATATATTTAGAACATGTGAAGTCCCATCGGGATGATTATGGGTAAAATAGTTGCTTCAAAATCAAGATGAAAAGTGAGGTGCATAAGATTTGACAAAATCGACTAAGTTTGCAGAAGGTCTATCTTCCAGCAAGTTTTAGTGAAAATGCATAAGGAATTTGGGAAAATGCAAAGAATAAAAGTTGTAGACCTTTGAAATATCTTTTGAACGATATATTATGGAGCCTAAATGGATCTCTTTGCAAAATGTTATGTGTATTTTATAGAACAGTATACGATATGCACGCTGGTAGCGCGCCCGCCTATTTTTGAGGCAATGTTACTGCCTTTTAGCGCGGTAAGTAGCACGGGCAGGCCTCCAGATGCGCGGGAGCGCTAGTGGGGGGTCGTTTTAAAGCTATATTTCGTCCCCCATAGCCCCAAAACATAAAAACTTGCTCTAGAAAGGGGAAGTCTCAAAAACCTAACTCCTTAAGGGTCCTTCCACCACCCAAGGTAAGTTCTAATGGTGATTCTAAGTTAATTTCAATTTTCCAACATCTTATTAACATGGGTAAACCCTCTATATCATTAGATATTCGATTGGGACATCATTGTTGAGAGAAGGAAGCCTAGAACTCGAATTCAAAGGGGTTTGAACTTCAAAAAGGTAATGTCTTCACCCTCTAATTGATTCTAGCATTTGTTTAATGATTATAAACCCTAGTTCATAAGATATGAGTTGATGGGTTTGATAGAAAAGCATGAACGATTATAGGGGTGGGGTGTTGAGTGTAGATTATTGGTTAAGGGTGTTATTTACATTATGGGTGATGAAGAATAATGTTGATATAATCATTTGAGACTTTAAAATTTGTGAACAAGAGAATGGGTTGTTGGGTGTAGAGACACCATTAATAAAGCCTAGGAAGCTTTATTTTCACCAAGTGTTTGATAAAATTCTTAAGTGACCAAAACATGAGCATCATAGCTAATATGGAATCCCTTTGACTTGTATTGCTATAGATTAAAGTTGAAATGGTTGATAAACATTGTATTACGCTCAAGGGCAGGAAGTTAAGGTATGTAAGGCTAACTCTTTACGTTTGGGAATGTCTATGATTCTCCCTACATCCCATTCATTATGACCATTATCAGTTTCCTTAGAAAGTAACTATGCCTCGGTTCCCTGAATAGTAGTAGAACTTCTATTCTCTAGATAGCATAGTCTCATAATCATTCGATATTCTATGAGTTTTAGATATGATAAATCAACTTATTATGAATACTCATCTCAGTCTGATCCTATTCACTAATCCAGTATTATGTAACTTGGTATGGCTCATTATTTCCGTATCATGTATTGTAATATGATTCTCAGTTCTTGATTTTATATTCTTGAATGTTGAACACCTGTATTTGGGCCTGAGGCCGCAGTTCATGCTTTATACATCTTTGGGCCTGAGGCCGCAGCTATGGATACGTATACTTGGGCCCGAGGCCGCAGTTGTGCACATATATATATACATATTGGGCCTGAGGCGCAGTTTAATATTCAGTTAAATAGGTTGTTCATCATTCAGAAGAGGGAGTATTCACATCCGTACTTCCTTATTCAGTTACCAGTTTATTAGCCAGCAGTTCAGTTTCAGTTTCAATATTTACAGTTTTTTTGTTATGCTATTTTACATACCAGTACAATTCAAATGTACTGACGTCCCTTTTGCCCGGGGCCTGTATCTCGCGATGCAGGTAACAATTTTCAGGTTGACGATTCTGCTTGCTAGGACATCTCGTATCAGCTATTGGTGAGCCCAGTCTTTCGGGGCCTTATCTCTCTTTTATTTTAGTCATTATAGTATTTCGGTTAATAAGGTATACCGGGGACCTTGTTTCGGTAAACAGTTAGCATTTTCAGTATTCTTTAAAGGCTTCGTAGACTATAACCCAGTCGGTCAGATATTGTAGGCTTTCATGTGTTAGCCTTATCGGCTATTTGTTTATACTTGCAGACCTTTCAGTATTTTTCGCATCTATGATATTTCAGTCAGACTCTTTAGTAGATTATCATATTTTATATTTACCTCTAGCTCATAGTTATACCACATGTTGATCCAGCCATGTAGTTGGTTCGCTCGGTGACATGCAGTCATGCACCGAGTGCCGTGTTACGCCTAGACCATGGTTTGGGGCGTGACATTATGTCTAAAGTTCTTAAGGCTAATTCTGAATCATGCTTTCTTTGAAACACTATTTGGAGTTGTTTTCCAGCTTATGATATTCAATCCCGTTATTGTGAATTTGACATGTGTGCCTTCTAAATTAGTATAATCCTACCATGTGTCGTTGGTTAAAAAATATTGTTAGTCACAGCCTTAAGAACTAAGAGTATAGGCTTCAAAGGTTGCTTAATTAATTTAGTGTGTAACTGAATACATGTATGGTTAAGTTTAACATCCATTTGGGTAAGTAAGTCGTTCATTGGGTCTAGTTTAGGCCATATGTGTTGTTGGAGCTGGGCATAGGATTCATGCATACTCTACTGTCCGCGTGATCCTAGGATTTGTGTCTGTTGGTTGTGCGAAGAGTAAGGCTGTTGAAGGTCTGAAAATATTGCTGGGTTATTTTGTATTAGGTTTGTAATGTTTTATTGGCCTATATTTGTTTCAGTATGTAGTTTTACATATTTGAGTTTATATTCTTTCATTTGGGCCAATAATAACTTGCAATAACAAACAATTTGGGATTAGTAAGAATGAGGGGCTGGGATAGATTTTTTCTTGCATGAATGGGTAGAAAAACATGCCTATAGGATTCTAATTATTTTGTTTGGTTTCCATACCTCACGCTTTAGAAATTATCTTTGAAACATATTTAGAAGACATGATTTTGTGACGACCCGTCCGGTCGTCTTAAGAATTAATACCCCGATCCCCTATTAAATGCTTTCCACGTATTTATTTCTGCTATTTTGATTTACCGGGATGTTCGATTTTGAGTTTCTGAGAGTTTTGGGACACTTAGTCCCTAAATGAGAGCTTAAGTGTTGGAAATTTGACCGTAGTCGGAACAGTATGAAGACGGCCTCGGAATGGAATTCTGATGGTTCCATTAGCTATGTTGGGTGATTTCGGGCTTATGGGCGTGTTCGGATTGTGTTTTGGAGGTCCGTAGCTAATTTAGGCTTGAAATGCCGAAAGTCGAATTTTGAAGTTTACGGTTCGACAGTGAGATTTTGATCTGAGGTTCAGAATGGAATTCCGGAAGTTGGAGTAGCTCCGTAGTGTTGAATGTGACGTGTGTACAAAATTTCAGGTCATTCGGACGAGGTTTGATAGACTTTTTGATCGAAAGCGTATTTTTAGAGTTTTGGAGTTCTTAGGCTTGAATCCGCAGTTGATTCATTGTTTCGATGTTGTTTTAGATGTTTTAAGGATCGGTATAAGTTTGGACAGTGGTATTAGACTTGTTGGTACCTTTGGTTGAGGTCCCGGGGGCCTCGGGATGGTTTTGGGAGGTTGTTGGAAGAATTTGGAAATTGTTTGAGCAACTTCAGCTGTTAGTCTTCTGTCATAACCGCACCTGCGTTTGGGTCCCGCAGGTGCATAGCCGTAGAAGTGGCATTTTCTTCACAGAAGCGAAAATAGGGAGGAATAGCAGGAGCCGCAGAAGCGGGCAATTTACCGCAGAAGCGGTACCGTATCTGCATATGGGGAGTCGCAGGTGCGGAAGGCTGAGTTTAAGTGAAATGTCGCAGATGCGACCATGTCCTCGCAGAAGCGAGACCGCAGAAGCGTATTAGCTAGGCAGAAACATATAAATTCTTGCCTTCGCGAATTTGAGCCATTTTCACCTCTTTTCAAACGGAAAAAAGCCTTGGGGAGCATTTTCAAGAGAGATTTTCAGAGGAATTCATTGGGGTAAGGTCTTTGGTCCCT